ACAAGCAGAAAAAAGGAGGGGAAGGATGATAAAGGAGGTCAGAAACAATTAGGTGAGCAAAGGTAAAAGCCTAAGCTCGCATGAAGTCACCAGAACAGAGGAACACAGCAGGCCAGAACAGGCCGCACAGGCCTCGGAAGTGGACGGCCCTCTGCGGTCGCTCTGAGACTCCGCCCAGCTGGCTGGGAAAGACGGCGGGAGGTGGTGCATGCACGCGGTGGTGGGCACGCCAGGATGGATCAAACAGGGGCAGAAGCAGGGATCGTGACATGGAGGTCGGGTTGAGTGCAGTAAGTCTGGCACACCATCAAGACAGGACAGGACAAGCCAGGACAGGAACCACTGAAGCACCCGCACCTACCTGCAGCTGCCCACCCGTCTGCACCGTACCTGCCTGCACCTGTGCACCTGCGCAGGAGGGGAAGGGGCGAGAGGGGCGAGAACGGAGAGCTCCTTCTCAGTTCTGCCTGCCTGCACTTTTGAGACTTCATACCAGACAGGGACCGGGCGCTCTATCTCACGAACCTCGCTCCTCGTTCCACTGATTTGATTCACGCACACGACCACCAACGCATGTCTACAGGGGTAACGTACAAAATCGCCAACAGGTCAAGGACCTTTGGAGATATAGGCATCATCAATATCAGGTGCTGATCATCCAATGTCCTCCTCGGTGGGCGACCTGCATCACCGGATTCTGGGTCAATAAGACCGCATAAGTTGGTTGGTGACGATGTAGGTAAGTATCTTCAGCGGGTCCCCTGTCAATCTGCAAACCCCATAATGCTTCTGCCCTGAGGGGACAGTTGAGATGAGGCGCGATGCGGCCGCCTGGGTGCTTCAAACTCGATACTACCTCTCAGTACCCTGTTAGGTAGGTAGCAACAGTACCTGCTTACGGTTAAGGCAATATATTCGAGGTTAAGCCGATGAAGGCAATTTATTGCCCGATAAGAAATTACACGATCTTACCCCATTGGACGAGATCAAGCTCTCACGATGTTTTGATAGGCGGCGTAGTGGAGAGAAGCAGGCTCACTGGCGAAGCCGAAATCGTGACAGAGCGTGAAAAGCAACGGCCGCAAAAACCGGAAGTATCCCCGGGCTATCTTCCTTGACGGGCAGCCCCGTCCAGCGAATAGTGGAAACTTGGAAGTAGTAGTAATAGTAATGCTCAGTTGGGACTTGGTTGGCGATATTACTCAGACACCCAATTTTTGTATGCCCTGATTGGGCCCGAGAAATTAACAAGCCGCATCATATTTCACGAGTGTACCCAATAGTATGGTTCTTTCGTTGGCTGTATTCACAGCCTGGTGCAGTAGAGGACACCCCGCCATTGAATCATTAGGTAGTGAGACTACGTTTTGTATTTGGGGGCAGCATTTGCATTGTTTTAATAGTGCAGCGTACTAAATACGCAATGAGTTGGATCGAAATCAAGGCTCGCGACGGCAGTCTATGCTCACGATAGCTGGGCCTGATGCCGCGCGAAGACATTCTCAATTCCTGCTACAAAGCAGATCCCGGCAGCTCTAGAGACTAGCTAGCTATTAGTGCGGTGTTGGTGTCGTTCCCAAACGACCAGAAGCCAACGTCGAAGCTGACACGCACCAAAACTTGGCTGAGGATCTGAGGCGAGGCTGGGCCTGGCTCCCCGTGACGTTGTGTCGTCGATACCCGACACTATCTTGGTACATGAGACTCCAATTGCGAGGCTTGGTTGGGGGGCCATGTGAGAGGATCTCGCCTGAGTAAGCTCTAAACGCTCAACGACGAGCTGAGCGTGCTCGCCTCAACAGTAAGGCTGAGTGAGCGCGACCGTCGCGCGAGCTCAGCACTACCTGAGAGTGTGTCGCATCCGCCCCCTGATATGCAGATATTATGCGAGATTGACTGATTTCCTTTCTCGCTGTGCCATGCGCTGCCCTGGCCCTGCACTTTTTCTTCCCTCTGGAGAGAACCCCCCGGGCCGGATCAAACGAAATGAAGGCAAAGGTGGGGAGGGAGCCAGTCAAAATGTGTCGCGCACTGATTAATCCACCAGTGGTCTAGCTGCCGCCTTGGGGGATTTACCCATTCTCGGTGGAAGATGAAACTGGGCTCCAGAATCCGGTGAGGGACTGAAACTGGATGCACCAATGGCCAAGAGCCACATGCATGTTGGCAGCTCTGCGTGTTTTGCCTGTGTATGGGCACACATAATATGGAGCGAGTAAAGAAAGAGAGGCAGTATTACGCCCCTAAGCCAATGCGGATGGATGGTCCTTTGGTAGCGCAGCTTACATTTGATGCTACAAGCTGTTGGCGCGTCTTGGTGCGTGTCTGTTTGTTTGCTTTTGTCCTTATTCCACTTGTCATTCCGGGGTTGGCGAAAAGGATGCAGGACCGTTGATGGGAGGTGAGTGGGGACAGTTCTGCTAGTATCAGTATATCCAAGGTACGTACGCGCACAGTAGCACGTTATACGAGGCCTCGAATCAAGATCGACTTGGCTGGGTGCTACGTTGTACGTATGAAGAAAGTCGCCTACCCCACGGCTGGCAATCATTCTACTCTGAGCAGCTGGCACATGGCTTCTGGTGAGCAGACTTGAGCTCGGTCCAGCGTGGCGAATGCACATGATATGTCGAGCTGCGAGTGCTAGCCCAGGCCCCATGGCTCCTGGCACATCGAGCGCAGGGATCCGCGCTGCTCGCTGTCCTGGGAGAGATCCCCCAACCTAATGCCTGAGGTGGCTCTCATTTCGTGAAATTGGCGACACGTAGTGAAGGCGTCAGCCAATGCAACAGTTGGGAGAATATTGGCTGGAACTATGGAATATCGCTACCGTTCTAGATGGGAGGATTTGGGCTTGCAAAATCACCCCGACCCTGTTTTCTGTATGTTGACGTTTGAGGTGTATTTCAAGTTTCGTGGCTATGCAATCTATGCCAGGGAGACGCAGAGAACCACCAAACATGCGTTTCCCACGTGGACCGCAATGTGGCGACCCAGGACACTGGTCAATCTCACGCCTGGCGGCATAAAACTCATACGCCTCCCATCAGCATGGTCAACAAAAGTGCAGGCGCGAGCCCTCACCTGGATGCAGACGGGAGGAGAAAGAGACCACCTCCTTTCCCTTGGGCCTACGTGATTAATTCCCCGAGCCCGGCAGTGCAAAGCAAAGTAGGTCACTGGTCAGCCAGGATATTAAGATCATCAGATTTCGTCCGTATTGTGAAACCCACCAAGGCGGGGCCAAAACGCTTCGCACATCGTAATCCCGCCAGAACAGTTTAACCGGGCGGGTTCAAGGTGCGACGGGCTCATTGTCACTTTGACAGGTGAGACGATTGTCTCCCCATCTCGCGGGTAGCGGATGGACAGGACTTCACTGGCTAGTCTCGATGATGGGAGACAACAGCCATGTATGTGTGTTTAACCGCTTCAGGGAAGCCTCTGCGTATTACTACTTCTCTCCAGATGACGAGCAAGGCTCTGAACTCGAAACTGTAAGCCAGATGGGCCGCTGCGGCGGCTCAAACACCGTCTGAATCGACGTAATCCTCCGTGATCGGTGCCAATTCCTCCCGACTATTACGACACTTTACAAGGCATTTCGTTGGACAGGCAAGAGTCAGATCAAGGAAAGAAACAAATATCAAACAATACTATTTTTAGTGAATGTGATTTTGTTGAGGACGGAGCAGCCGGTTGTTGTCCCCTACGACAAATGAGTCGTCGAATACCAGCCCATCTAGCTCTCGTCGAGCTCAAGGCCAGTGATCGGCGCCAGCCTCGATTATTCATTACCTGTAAAGAGGTGACCCGGTTGTCCTATTCGGCAACTACAAGCTGCGTCCAAACATTCGGATGGTACGAATATATCTGCAGGCAGTGTTGGCCTTGAAGAGTCATGTTTAGTTTCTAGGCGCAGTGTGAAGTAGGAAAATCAAGTATATTTCAAGGTTCAAAAGAGCTTCCCAATAAAGATGATCTTCAATAAGTCAAGGAAGTTTCTAGACTACTTCCAATCAATAAACGAATCGTCTGAACATCAAGTTGCTCATAACATTCGTCTCACTCTTTGCTCCCGGGGCCTCTCCCAGAGATACACAACATATCCCAATCCAACAGATCAAGGGGTGAACTGTACTTTGAAAATCGAGAATTACATCACTGAAGTATAGACTGTGCACCTCGTTATCAAGTACTTATGAAGACAGTTCAATCAAAAAACCATGAGTATCGTCCACTCTGTCTGTGGGCCCACCCTATACCGAGAGAAGCAGACGTAATAATTGAAGTGTAGGATACCCTGTGAGCGATCAGTGCTCCTCAAAATGGCCGTGAATACGCGGGAAAAGAAAGGACAAGCACCCTAGCCAGGGACAGCATGCCATGGTCCCCCGGTGTTGACACTCTTCCAATGTTCGCCCGCAATTAGGTAGACTTAGATTCCGAGAGTACAATACAGGAATTAGTACATTCCACTTCAGGGAACAAATTCTTCGCCTATATGCCATAGAGGTTATATTCTGGAAGAAGTGGAAGCCATATCATACCCTTAGCCGGAGGTTCTGAGCAACACATACATCAATCACGGTTCAAAGATTTGACAATGTAATAGTAGATCATAGTTAAGAGCCATGGTGCAATACTTCCGAGAGATGTAATAATCGAAACTTACAGGTTTACTCAACCACGAGCTAGAACTGCTCAAATTTCATCCATGCAGAACCAGGAGAACCGATCAGAGAGTGCCTAATCATGTTAGGGGGTCGAGGCAGGTTTAGGAGGTTTCCAAGAGCCGGTAAAGGCAAAGAGAGCACACAGGCGCGCCGCACGAGGAACTTCAACAATATATGATAATAAATGTTCAAGTATATTTAGGGCCACAGATTAAAATAAGTGACCAAAAGCTGCAAGATCCAGGCACGCTGAGTCTATTAGGAGAATTGAAAATAAAACAAAGCAGTAACGTCGAAGCTCAACAACCACCGAGAATAAACCCATCACCATCTCTGAATGCCCTTCCCCTTCCCAATACCCTCCGTCTCCAAAGCAGGGAATTCTTCGGATTCCCTGTAGTCCTCAAACTCAGTCGACGATGTGATCAACGCCTGGTCTTGCATGCTCAGGCTGAGGGCAATTGCGAGATCAGCGTCTTCGTCTTGGTTGGTCGATGCCCCATCAAGAACAAAGCCATTGGTAGGGGACTGGGTAGACGATAGAAAGCCTGACCCAGACGCCTTCGTTTTCTTCCCGTTCTTTGGCTTGTACTTGATTGCGAACTCGAAATCACCTGCGCTGTTGCCGCGGGGAGAGTCTGCAGTGTCATTTCCACTTTCAAGGAGAGACAGACGCATCGCCTGCTGTATCTGCTGCTCATACTCATCATCCTCGTTGATACGGCCGTTTCCTGACTGGCTGGGCCCAGCAATGCTTGGCTCCGGGGTGGCAGTATCAGTTGTTGCCCCGCTGAAAGAAGATGCGGTGTCCACACTGGTATCAGCAGCAGAATCACTGGCTCGCATTTGCTCTTCTTGGTGAAATGCTTCCTCGGATATGAGCTGGGCGTAGAGAAGTGCCTCCTCCTCTGTCAAGTCTCCGAGGGCTCCAACTCCGAACCTATTACGCAATCGGGCCTTTTCCTTCGCCCTTTCCGCATCTTCGATTCTCAACTCGGCTTCCTCGGCGGCAATGTATCTGGAGCTTGTGCCTCCCTGGCGGCGACTGGCAATACGTCCGTGAATGTCGGAGTGCCTATGACGACGCTTTCTATGAGCAAAGTGACCATTTGAACTATATGCCCAGTAACGCATAAAGGCTCCAAAGGAAACGATGCCTCTTAAAATGGTCGGGTCAGGGTCAAGAAAGATAGCGCCAGCAGCAGAGTAATTCTCGTGCGCAAGGGCCGGATTCATGACCATCATGTGACGCGGAACTCGACCATTGTGTCTAGAATTGATCGTCCTGATGGCCTCTACCGTTGAACCCAGGGGATCCCAGACTTGGACAAGGCCATCACTGCCTCCATGAACGAGATAAAGCGCTGACAGTCCCAGGCTTGAAATCTCGGGGGACTGAGTTTGAATCATACGAATTGGTGCGATGTGAGAGATTCGGTTGTTGTCACGAGCATTCCAGACAATAACCTCTCCAGAGCTTGTCCCAATCGCGATAAAACGAGCGCGGCGACCAGGTATCTCTACACTAGCTTGGTTTATGTCCGAGGACGTACGGATGCTGGCGAGATGATCAGCTACATGCAGCGCATCCTCCGCCAGCGTGTGAGTTGACTGAAGAGAAGAATCAAGGGCGCTTGTAGAAATGGTAGCATTGGTCTGAATGCCGAGTTCCAGAGTTTGCGTGTTCCACTCGTGCTCAGAAACAAGAGAGATGGCGCGCGGCTGGGGTGTTGAAGGTGGTGACAGAGGTGATTGCGAATCCAAGGGCGAGGGAGTGGGCTGTTGCTCGCCATTGACATGACCAAACAGTGATGTCTTAGGGGCCGAAGGTTGAGTTTCAATGTCAATATGAGTCTTTGCAGTCTTGAAAGGACAAATCCGCATATGCCGTTTGACACAAGGGGCCTGACTCTCTGTCAAGCCGCAGTCAATAACGAAGATGCTCTCCCCCACGCCGTCCCCAGAGTCATTAGCAAAATCAACCTCAAGTCTGCGTTGCATATCCCAGCCCTGGCAAACCTTGAGGAAGTGGGAGGGCTGATAATGCATAAACTTTTCGGCTTCCCGGGCTTTGGCTATCAATTGATCCTTGTCCAACTGCATTGAGTCGGAAGGAGGGTAGGGCGAATAGGAGGCATCAGATTCGCTCTTGTCCAATTCGTCGGGACGGGCAGTACGTCGTGTCTCTTCCAAGAGATGCCAGAAGACTGTGCGACCAGCGAGCCAGGCATGTCTGACAATATCATCACCCTGGGCACGGTTTATGGTGCTTTTAGGGGTTTCGGTCAAATAATAGACTTCTCCGAGTGCATTCAAGGCGACGGCCCAAACACGGCTAGCAGTCTTTCGTTTGATGCTGTAATTTTCATCCACTTTGAGCGAGATGATGGGGACTCCCGGGCTGAGAGCCCATCGTCCCGTCATGTCACCCATCGAAAAGCGAAGGCCACCAGAGTCCGAGCCAAGGGAATAAGACGTCACAACTCCAGCGGTAGATCCAACGAACATACCAACCATCGACTCGGTGACTGTGGGTACAGCCGAGGATTTGGCAAGCCAAACGCAGGAGATAGCCTCTGTTATCTCGGGGATCCTGGGAATATCAAGAAAACTGTCTGCCACTCCAGAATCCGGCTCGAGGTAACGGCCACTAGCCTCGTTGGCTCCGCGGAAGAAGGCACGACCGCCAGGAAACCCTTCACCCGCAAGCAGGCCATAGGGTTGACTAACATCCATGACATTGGGAACTCCAGCCGGGCCATCCCCAAGGCCATACGGTACTAGGTTTGGCACCACCTCCTCCAACTGGGGGAAGGTATTGGGAGCTTCCAATCCCCATTTTTCGATCTTTCCGGTTGTGGGATCACTGACGGTCCCAACCCCAAGGTCAGATGTACCCTGGATAGCCCGGGGAGGTTTTTTCCCATTAGTAAATACAGCATGAAGATGAGAGACAACCCATGGCAACTTGGAATTATAAGTCAAAACAGCTGTAGTTTTCTTGATGTTTTGTTTCGATCGCCCTGACGACCCGGCCCCAGCGGCAAACGCTCCAGGCTTGCCACGCTCCAAGCTTCTGAGAAGTCGGGTGCGAAACAAGTACTCACTTCTCCAAGTCGCCAACGGTGTCAGCCTGGAGAAGTATCGGGTATCCGATCGAAGACCATCAGAATCCAGGTCATCCGGTCCATCATCGCCCCTTTTCGAAACCTTATTGCTGATAATGCTGTGTCCTGGGAAGAAGCGCTGGAACGCCATGCGCCAGGCGTGTGGGGTAGTTACCAGCGCATAGAATCGCTTCGAGACGAGAGCAACGGTGTTATGAGAGTCGGGGTGGAGGTGAGAAAGGATGTGCGTAAGAATCTCTGTGGTGTGGCGATCGATTAGAAGGGTTCTAAACTGAGGTTTCAAAGACAAGACTAACCATTGGGGAGATCCTCAAGCTGCACCCCATCAGTCCGTGGCTCAGACCGTTTGATGACCTTGAAGCCAAAAGAATGCCGATTTCCGGGATATATCAAGGCATTTTCATAATCAATTACTCTTTGCCCTGGAACTGGTGGGCTTGCCCTCGATGGGTCGTCAAATCTCAACCGGAGAAGCTTCTCATCCAGCTTGTCTGGGCTGAACCCATCGGATGAGTCATTGTCGAGAGGGCCAGAGTGGGGAGACGTGCTTTGGGAGCCATCAGAGCCGACTCGGTGCAGGTCATTGGGATCATGGTGCAGGAGGCCATGTTGGGAAGATGGTGAGGAGATTGGGGATTTGTCGGGTTGGTTGCGCTGTGTTGAACTCTTGGGGGGCTCTTGTTGCATAAAGCTGAACGGAAGTGTCAAGGGGGGGAAGAATTATGACTGCGCACTATGGTTTGCACAGTCTAGGCGATGAACGAGCTGGACAACTATTAAAGTCCTTGATGAATCTGAGGAGTTGCCACAAGTATGGACGGTTGTCACAGAGGTGATTGATACTTAGGAGAATAGGTCGAGCAGGTGAGTTGAGATCAATGATCGATGATGATATCAAATCAATCGCCAAGTAAGTGCTTCCGGGATACGCGTGGGAGTGATGCGCGAGATTCGGGGCTTTTGCCGACGATGAGCCGACAGGGACGTTAGGCCAGTTCCTGAGCTCGTCATTCCTTGTGTCAGCGTATCCGAGTGCCCGGGTCACATCATCTGCCTACCCTATACTCGAGTCATGTCAATTGACACCAAACACTGCCCATCTTGCCAGCCCATCCAAGAAATATCGAGCTTTTGCTCAGTAATATTCTCACCGGGCATCAAGTTTCCACTCCCCGTTTTATGGTTGGACAGGGGGTTTTATTGTCACGGCGAATAGCGAGCGGCGATACACTCATCCTCGGTGTTAAGACGTTACCGGTACTGGGGCTCGGTGTGTCTACAAAGGTTAGGAAATAGAGTTCCCAAAAGCTCGGGGGCCGAACCGTTGGATAACTGTCAGGCTAGGCGTTTCGACGACATCCATGCCATATCGGGCCTCAGGAACCAGGGAGAAGAATAACTGATTACATATATTTATTGATTGTCGGCGTTTCATCCAAACCCGTTTCTGTGCAGGCCTAGCTCAATTCCCTCTTCTCCCACGGGTCTGGAGAGGATAGTCCGACAAATCACCCCGAACATTGCGCAAGGATTGGCATGACGCTGGGTCAGGGGACACTGCTTCCATAACCAGGTAGGGGGGGAACCGCAAGGTGTATCCGGGCTGCCGGGAGGTCTTCGGAGGGGGTGGGTTGTGGCATCACGTTGCAGGTATTTGCTGGCATGAAACCTACCCAACGTACATAATACAGGCCGAGGAGCGGTACCGGCATCGTAAAAATCTCAATAATCACACACGAGGCAGCACCGACATGGGAGGGATGCCCACCTACAGAGAAACACATATGTGGGCGACACTGTATGGTCAAAAGCAGCTGCATCTGCATAGTAAAGGGGCCTAGGAAACATGGAGGGACACTCTACATAGTATTCGCAATCAACCACTAGCATTGGCGTCTCAGTTTGTATGGGCGAACTTGTCTGTCGACGGCACTAATGCGCTGCTGGCCACTATTGATCCTGCCCCCAAGATCCATCCCGTTGCAAACGCATCCAGGTCGACAGGGTTGGCCTGGGGCGAACTGCGGTCCGGTACTGCCCTGCCCTGGACCTGCAAAGCAATACTGGCCGCAGACTGAGCCTCCCACCGACATATATTACGGCAGCACTGGGCGAAACTGCGACGCAAATCCAGCAGAACAGCGAGACCTGGGCCGTGCCGGGAACAGCGTCTGCGGCCGATTAAGGCAGCTGGAGCAGGGAGTAGGAACGCTAGACCAAATAGCCCCGTGTCTTTCATCTTGGGAGGTAATCAAGTGAATTTTTTTGCACACGAGAGGATTTTTAGGCGTCGGGCCATTAACCAAACCATGGGACGGACCGCTAGCCGTAGGCTGTCGGCACACCCAGCGCACTGGGCTCAGCGGAGCAGGTCTCCATTGCCCAACCTCTCCCCCAGGACGATGGGAATGCAAAAACCAACAAGATCAGGGCATGCGGGTCGGTGGCTCCATCTGCCTGGCATCCTACCATTGGCGCTGGCAGTCTAGAAACTGGCTTCTGTCCTGTTCGCAACGTCGCTGGTGCGGATCGGTGATTGCTCACCGACTGATGTGGAGTGTGCTGTCGACCTGCCCACAACCAACCACATCATCTCGAAAGAAGATATTCACACATGTGGCCAGAAATCAGGGTAAGTATGTCCGGCCGGCCAGATGCTGCAACTCTGAGAAAGCACGCCGATGGGGTCTGGCCATATGTTCGCTTCGGCATCTCACAAGCAATGCATCGTCAACGGGCGTGCGAGTAGGACCCGTCGTCCGGCATACAGGCGTACATGCATACCTACTTACCTACCTACCTTACTGGGTATGTACACTACATGAATGCTACCGGATGCGCCATGGCCTCCTAGTGGACCGGCTCCTCCAAGATCTTGTCAAAATCATTGGGGCTCCAGGTTCCTATACATAATTATACGCGTGTGCGGGAGGCACGACATGCAGTACCCAAGCTGCCCAGCCCGGCCAACACCACGCTGCTGCAGCGGGTGTATGCGCGAAGACGTACGCCTTGCGTCGTTTGGCCTCTGGGGTGCCACGTCGATGGTTTTGCTCCACGGTGCTACTCCCAGAACGAGCCGATGCTCTCATACCCCGCAGGGGGCATGGCGTCCGTCTGGCTATTATTAATTTCCCAACCAGACTGATGGGAGCTGTGTCCCAATTGAACGGTAACTCCTTCGGAACGGTTTGGTGTTCGCCGTGTTCAGACAACTTGCTGCCGGAGTGTGTCTGGTCATACCGCGGAGATTGGACGCTCCGACTCTCGCTTGCGGCTGCCCACTGGACTCGACGAGATGGAGGTGCCGTGTGCCCTCCTCTTCGCAGGTTGTCCTTCACCGCTTCGACAAAACTGTAGGCCGTTTCGATGAAGAGCTGGCATCTAAGTACTGTATACTTCAGCCGAGACTGTCATGTGGCTTCCCCAATGGCTGGTTCTGGCGGGTAGCGAAACCAAGTCACCGGGACCAGCTAATGAAAAGGAGGGACACAGACGGCCTGAGACACCATGACAATAGCCACCACGCTATTCATTATTGAGGCGATTTTTACCAACGCGGTAAGCCGCTGCTCTCTCCCAGTGGGGCGATGCTACACCAATGCAACGGCTGGGTGTGTGGTCTTATGCATCGGAATGCTTTCACATACCTCCAGGTGGCGATCACCTCGCCTGCAGATCCGAAAGTAGGCGTCTCGTTTGTTGGGTCCCCTCGACAGCTTTTCTCTCGTCATTTCTCACCAGCATTAATTATCATGCTGACGGCAGAAGGCCATGAGGCCATGGCATGTCTCAGCTCCTGTGAGAACACGACGGTCCCCAATGGTACCCAACCCTCTGGTACCCAATCCCATGGGACGATAGAATTCACCGCCTGGTCGGCCGCCAGCGGCCCTTGCACATGGAGGAGGCGTCGGACGGGCCAATGTAGAGGAATGTAATGGGGAAAGTATGATGCTGTTGCATGTCTGCTGCAACCTCGCTTTAATGAGAGTTTGCAAGGAATACTAAAATCGGCCAGGCCTAAGTAGACCGTGGCAAAATAAAAACCTGTCGAGAATAGGAGAACATGACATTGAATTTTTTTTCAAATACCAACTTTGAAGTTATGTCATAGCAAGCACCAGCGCTAAGATTTCTAGCAATTCTTCCGTCAGCATTCCTAGATTCGTACGAACAGGCGTCCATAACGGTCGATCGACTGGAGGCTAGTGGTAATCTTTCCCTTGGAAAAATATGATTGATCTTCTCGTATGCCCTATGGTACCGAATGGCAGGGATCTGCGCCCAAGGGGTTTTAGGTAAATTGATGTCTACCAATAGACTGGATCCCGAAATCACTTGCTTGGTACTTGATAATATAGGTTGTATAATGATGCAGTGACCCTTTCATTGCTGATTCTTAGAACCACTCCTGATTATGCATCGCAGATCAAGCAGTCGTTCTGATTATGTGTTGTATGAGTCTTAGTCGCTAAGCTATTGGCGGGTATCTCTGAGTTGATCCTCATCCTAGGTATGATCAGGCTTCTTCCTTGCATAGGTAGTGAGTGGGCTTTCTCAGAAAAAATATCCGGCTTCGTAAACAGAGTCAGGCACACGGGCCTTTCCGACTGTGCGATATCAGGGGACCGATGTCCAACGGCCTGTTCACCGGTATTAACGAACGGCCGCCTCTTTTTCTCCCCTTTCTTGTTTTGGTGTAACGTTTGATTTTGTGGTCGGCTTTCGCCCACCCTCCCTGAACAAAAAAAGAGACATGTCAGAGACGCAGACGTTAAGTGACTGCGCTGGACAACGCCATTTCCATTGAGAAGGTTGGCAGACTGCATCGATTCTTGCAAGATATTTCTTTGCTTTTTCCCCCTGGTCCAGCTGCGCCTTGGTTTCCAGTACGCCAAGTTACGTGACTCTATCACCTGTGATATCAGACCATAAACTGGACTGTGACCTTCAAATGTGCCGATTGTGTATTTGAAGAATCCCCTCTTTTTTCCCCCTCGCCTCGGGTCCTTTTTGTGTGAAGCGCTGGTGAGCGGCTTTGGCGCCGGGGGTATGGGTACGCAATATCAAAACGGGTCATCCCTTCACTGTGTTCATGCACTCCATGGCACTGTAAACCCGGTGCCAGGGTTATGAATCGGGCTCCGCAACAGGCCGCCGAGATGGATGGTATGTGGTGGTGAGGAAGCCCTTGTACGCATGCACCTACCTTTGCCCTTGTGCTGGAGACTCGCCGACCAATGCAGCCAACTGATGCAGCCATCCATTATGGGAAACATGCGCATGATGTAGAGGGACAAAAAGCCAGCATATGCAGCATCTGCAACGGTGCTTGGGAGGCAATGCATTGTGTGAGTTGAAGACGGACTTTTTTCTCAACCCGGGATCCTCAACATGCGCCAAGGAGCCCTTGACTGGTTTGCCCACCTTCATGGCGGACCAGCTACTAAACCAGTCGATAGTTGAATGGTTGTGTCCCTAAAAGAGAGTAGCAGGCGGTTGTGGACGTCAGTAGCCGGAATTTGGGTTAGGGAATGAAGGTTGGCGCTTCTTGTCCCTGGCACTGAGGTAATGGGGCTTTAGACTGCCTGGACGGAAAAAATGCGCGGCCGCCACTGACTGATAGCCCGCATGCCGCCCTCCCACGTCCTATTGGCCAGCCCACCCACCTGCCTGGGAAGGCATGTGCAATGCTACCTCGCCCACTGACAGGTAAGGTACTGGTCTCAGGACGTGCCGCCGATTCTGCATTACGTAGTTGGGTGTGTGTACCGTGTAGGAAGGTCCTGCTGGAAGAGAGAGCTGGTGAGCTGGTGGTCCATGGCCCGAACTCCTGGGGGCAGGCAAGCAGGGAGGTCGGGCCATACTGCTTGGGTCCACTGGGCATCTAACCACTGCTGAGGGACGGAGCACTGAGCTGCTAAGGTTATCTTAGGTAAGTAAGGTCGGTAGGCATGAAATGGACTGAGTCGGTGCCGAGAGGGGAGGAGCTAGCATTTCTCGAGGGCGGGTATTAGTCTGAGTCGAAGGTATTTTGGTACATGGTGCAAGTCCAAGACAGGGTTCTTTCCCAGCTCCCTGGGCCTGCGGGACCAGCTGTCGGCGGGACCTCCAAGGAGCCCTCCAGGGGCCCAATGGCAACGCTCTTGGGCCGGAACCATGGCGCTCAGGTCCACCACTCCAGCTCGAGTGGCTCGCTAAAGGGGCGTGATGATATGGCCTAGGCGGTCCACCAAATCCCGCCTGAGTGGATGTGGGTTGAACTGTCCGACCATCACTAGCACATGCCTGCATGCTCACCTTTCCGCATCAAGCAGCCCACTCCTCCATCTCGGATTCCCCCAAAGCCCAGGGCCGGCGCTGTTACCGTTCTCTGGGTGCTGCTAGGCCTCTTATTACACCCTGATCGCCACCCTCGATCGAGGTCCGTCGTCTTTGCGGAGCTGCATTTCTTCAGCCAACAATTGCACCGCGCTGTCGGGATGTTTTGAGGTTCACGACTGCATTCGCCTCGACTGCCCATTCTGCTGTGCACATTGTAATCGCTGTCGCCCAGTTTTAAAATTGTTGGTCGCCTGCTCGTCGCCCTACACTGGCAAGCGCGGCTAAAACGTCTCAACGTCAAATCGATTCAAGAGTAGCTGACCGTTTCCGCCTTCGCACTTCTATTACTTGGATACAGCATTCCACCCATCTTCGTTGCGCACATATGCCGTATTGTTAAGTTCTAGCAACTCTCGAATTTCGGTACTGCCATGTCGTCGTCCGGGCCTCCAGGAGGAGGGCGTACACCCCTCAAGGAAGAGAAGAAGGAGAAGAGTTTCACCAAACTCCTGACCAGGGCAAGGACTATCCTGAAGAGAGAAGGTTCCTCGAAGCGCGGATCGGGATCGGGATTGGGAGAGACTGAGGCGCCCAAGGAGCCACCCAAGGCAGCGTATGTATTTCCCTTCTACCCATTGTCTGCGCCCTCTCTTGTGGCGCAAAAGACTTCCCACGCTGCTTTGAATAAGCCAGAGAAATCCAAAGCAATTCTAATAATGGAACAGAGCGCCTCCCCAATTGACGAGCGCGCAGGCGGCTAGGGCAAGATATGAAGGCCTGCAAGGAGTTTCCAGGCTGTCCAAGGCCGCCCTATTTGAGGAAAGGGCTAAGAAGCTTGGGGAGCGATATGGGCTTGAAATCAAGACTACCGATTGGAAGACCATCACCATCGACCCTGCCGACGACACTGTTTTGCGCGTCAATAAGCCGATCCGAATGCGAGTTCGCCGTACCTGCCACAGGTGCGAGGCGAACTTCACGACCACCAAGGAGTGCCCCAGCTGCCAGCATACCCGCTGCGTCAAATGTACACGCTACCCGCCCAGACGCACGGAGGAGGAGAAAATTGCCAGCCGTGAGCGAAGGGCAGAGCTTATCAGGACTCAGAAAGAAAATGCTCCCCTCATTGTTGATTATCGCATTGATCAGAAACCTGTGGTTCTGAAGAAACCTAGCAAGACTGGTGGTCAAGACCTGATCTATAAGAAACCTCGTCAGCGGGTCAGGAGGAACTGCCACGAGTGCGCGAGGTTGTTCCCTCCCGGATCAAAGACGTGCGAAGGCTGCGGTCATATCCGCTGCACGGACTGTCCGCGAGACCCGTATGTGTTCTCCCGCAACCCTTATTTATCTTTGTCATTCAAGCTCACTACTAACGCCCTGCTCATTAGGCCCAAGAAAGACAAATATCCACTTGGCTATCCTGGCGACGAATTCGGACCTAGCAGTGTGCCTCACTTTGAGTGTCACTCGTGCAAGACTCTTTATCCACCTGGTTCCGAGAACGGGACGAAATGTAAGAGTTGTGGCCAAGAGAAGACAGCGGCATCTGTTCGCGCTCGGCCTCGCAAGGTCGAACCGGAAATTGAACTCGACCCCGCCATACTTGAAAAGATCGAGGCTAGACTTCAGGCTTTGAGAGTCTCCTAAGATGGGACTCGGAGCCTGTAGACATTGTAGTGGAGAGGATAGAGCGTTTGATTTGCTGCATTTGAGTTGTTGCGCATCACTGATTATCATTTTCATGATCCTTTGCATCACGAAAGCGAGTCATTTAACCTACATGCGACAGAGTTTGGGGGTTGAGGTTGGCTTTAGTTGTTTCACTTCATTTCTGCTACATAACGAGAAATGTCACATATCACGATTGCTTTGAAAACGGGGTTGTCTAGGTGGTAGGCTGCAGCAGCCGTGAATGAAGGCACATAGATCTACAGCCATCATTTTGCTTACGGACGTATGGGAGCTGGCTGCCCGCACCCCCCTAGAACCCTTGACAGGTTGCCCTTCATTGCAGCGAAGTATTGAATAAACTTGAATTCGGCTGGAGCATTGTGTGTGCCATTCCCATGACTAAATAAATGATACCTATTCTATTGCTACACTGATAAAGATAATCCTTGACAACCCCTCCGAATACCTGAGGATAGCACTGCCCATCTCTAGATTTGAAATGGATCGTTTTATCCCTATATCTATTAAATCTCATTTTACCCCGGGGACGACGCTGCTGAATTCAAAACTGGAATTGTCAAATGAAGAGAGGCTGTTGAATAACCCCCGTCGGAAAGATGGACAGGCCTGGTCTTAAGCCTCCTCCTTCACATGAGGCTCCACGGCTAGCCGCGTGCCGTGTATCCCCGATATCGAAGCCCCAAGCGTATCCAGCCTGTTGCGCTTCCTTCCAATATAGCGACCCATGCCGTCCATCCGATTGTTGAGCTGCGGCATCTGCTCGTCCGCCTGGCCCTGCTGGACCGCCTGCTGGAACCCGGCGGGGTTCAGGATGGGCATGAGGCGGTGGGTGGGGTAGAAGCGGCCGCGGATGGACTGCTCCTTGAGGGCGGCGTTCTCCTTGACGAGCACCCAGCGCCAGCGGGAGTTCGGGCCCGTCTGTTGGCGCCACGCGAGCTCGTCTCTCAGCGGGACGGGTAGCTGCTCCTCCGGGACGGCGTTTGTCAGCGGCGAGTCTCCCTTTACGAGTATGTAGATGTGGCCGCGGAAGACAACAGCGCCGGGATAGTCCCGGTTGGTTAGGATCTGGCGCAGGCCCAGGACCGCCGTGTCGGTTGTGATGTTCCACTCGGCAGGCAGGGCCTTTAGTCGCAGGGCATCTCCAATCTCGATGCGTTCGGCTCCGAAGAAGCAACCGTAGTACACTGGCGTCTTGGTTGACGGATCTTCCGATATGGGCGACCAGAGCGAGAAGGAGTAGTCTATTTTCGACGCGGCCATCTTTGAAGCATCGAGAATCAGTAGATCCCGCCTGTTTGCATCACTCTGATAGGCAGCAAACATGGCTTCCCAGGGAACATCATCATAGTTCTTGCTCTTGAGATCCTGAATTGTGACGCCCGGTACACTGAATGCGTGGAATGGGCGCATGTCGTTTGCGGTTTTGAAGACATTTTGCTGAGCGACTAGCCGATGGCCGATGGCTAGAAGTTCGAAGCCGTGCGTGTTATTGAAGGCTCCGATAATTCCCAGACGCCAAGTTTGTCCGTTCTGATACCAAACGAGCTCACCAACACGGAATAATAGCGATGACTTCAGAGGCCAGACCATAGGTGAGGGCTGGACCTGAGGTTGCTGCTGGGCCTGAGGTTGCTGCTGGGCTTGAGTTGGTTGGGCCTGAGGTTGTGGGATTGGAGGTGGGTGGACTGGTGTTTGCTTGATTTGGTGTTGCTGAACCTGAGGCGGTTGGGCTTGAGATTGGACCTTGGGTGCTGGTTGTGTCACCTGTGGCGGTATAGAAGACATAGGTATTTGGGGAGGTGGGACAGGCGTTGCAGTCGGGGGCGTGATAACCGACGGGGTAGGAATAGAAGGCGGTGGGATGTGTGTGGCCTGTGGTCTTTGCGCCGGTGATGCTGACTTTGTTGGTATTGGTTGACCAACAACTGTTGGGACAGGAATTGGGGTGACTTTATGAGGAATATGGTCTTGTTTAGCGGGCGATTCGTGAGGCATGTGAGCGAGACCCTCGTCAGATGAAGGTGTCTGCTTCGGGAGACTAGGAACGTTGCAATGAACACAGCAACAGTCCTTATAATCCATTGACGCTGACAGCAGCCATATCAAATGTAGCGCAAACTCCTGCGGCGTCTTGAAGAGCTTCGCCTTGATTGGGTATCCGGAAACCCAAAGATGCTTAGACTTTTCATAAAGCCAGTATCCCTTAGGAAATGGCACATACCAGGAGACACCATCTAGAAGAAAGAAATCAATAATTGAAACTAGCTGAATTCCTAAAGGGAGACGTACCGTCTGGACTCTGAGATAACTCTTGCTTGAGTAGAATACCTAACTTCACTCGCCATTCTGTGAATCTTGGATCATCTTCAGCAAGTCTCGTCATCTGTGGTTTTGCTCTTGGTGCTTTGTCTGCTACCGTTTTCTTTATCGAATTCGCTGCTGGTGTGGTAACTGGCCAATATCCGGGGCCAGTGTCCACCCCATCGGATCGACAGACGCGGATAACGTCAAAGTCTTTAGTATCAGTCATGGCTTCGACAGGTAGAAGCCCTGGTTTGAAGCCCTGGTTTAATTAAGATTAAGATAAGCCCCCGAGTAAGCGACCATGAATCAACGTGTTGTCAAGTGGTGCTTGAATTTTGTTGTCTCGATTGCCAATGGATCAGTTCAGATGACGTCCTTCTCTCGCTGGATATGGGCAAATGGTGAATATGTTGGGTGGAGATCTGAACAGGTTATTGGTTGGGCAAGAGCAACCTATTGAGGTATCAAGCAAGCCTCCTCTTTCTTTTATAGAGAAAGAAAGACGCATTCATCTATCACCATGCAGCTTGAAGCCCACAGACCTGTTTAGCTCCGACCCGGGGCCATGCGCAAGCTTGCATTGCCTTGTAGGTGGTTTCAAGGGGAAAAGTGCTTTGTCTGGGAACGCGAAGTCACGAGATGAGTCAGCAGTTAATGTGTGGGGTTCCAGTTAGCTCGACTCATTAACGCGAAAGCTAAGTGGACGCGCTCGCGATCCTGCAAAATATCTGTAGGTGGCAGAAGAATTAAGCCAGCGAATTGTTCTCTATGCGAAAAGATCGAAATGGAGACACTTCTCAGTTCGGGGTACAACAATGGCAATCGCGCCTTCCTGCAAGCCATTATGGCTCGAGGAGCCTTGACCTTTGACGAAGCATGCCCAATCATCGCGGGAATCTGGGAAGCAGAGGGACGGGATGGGCGGCATGAAGTCACCGAAGACGATTTTGCGGATTACCTTTCGAAAGCATCTGAAGCTGCTTCAATATATGATTATGAAATCCGAACCACCATTCATCAAGTCACCAGAGACCGAATCTATGCTTTTGTCAACACACGATCCGACCCCCAGACCCAGCTCGCTACGATCTTTGCTCCCGACGAGCTCTCATTCATCAAGCGCCTGTTTGATGCAATGTTCGAAACATACAATTCACCGCGAATGGAAATCATGGCGATCACACAGATGCAGGCGATGAAGGTCGCCCGGCCGCCCAATCGGAATCAGAACTCGGACGATGCACCAGAGGCGACACAGACATCTGTCGATAAGGGATTGAAACATAGCGAGGTCGAAACCACTCTCTCCAATCTTGTCCTTGGGGGGTGGCTAGAGCGAAGCAAGGAAGGGTTCTACAGCCTCACCCCTCGTGGTTTACTGGAGCTGCGACCTTGGCTGATCGAAACATACAACGACGACGGCGGCGATTGGCAGCGAATCAAATTCTGTGAGGCATGCAAGGAATTACTCACAGTTGGACTGAGATGCAACGAACCGGGCTGTCTGTTACGGCTACATGAGCATTGTGGGGACAACTTCTGGCGAATCCATGGTGGTCAAACATGCCCCAAGTGTTCCACGCCGTTTGATGGAACAAGATATGTTGGCGAGCGGGCGGTGACACAGACGGACGCTTATGCTCGAGGGCGGCGGCGGCCCGCGAAAAGCACACAGGGCCGACGAAGCTCGGCTATGCACCACGCAGATGAAGAGGAGGACAACGAATAGAACTTGCAACCTGGTGGCGTCTTGTTCTGAACCAGGGACTAAAGATACCCAAGAGTAAGGCATCAAAAATAATGTAATGAGTCATGAAGGGACGACCAATAGATGATACCGCATTATCCTGTATTCTCTAGCCGTTTCACCAGGTGTGTTCACGTGCATACTGTATGGGCATCATCGCTTCAGCGTAAAACGGGCTCGATGGAGTGCTGGCGTTTGGTGGGATTGGATGGTGGCTGAATGACATCACCTCGGGTGGCGGTGCAGCGAGCGCGGCGCTTGCTGGTCGCCAATTTGCCATCCGTGTCTTTGGCTTGCGCAAGGGATTCATAGTGCGTGCACCATATAACTACCTACCCAAGAAGCGGAGCTCGCCTTGGCTCTTGGTGAAGCTTTGTCACTCTCTGTTTTCATTTCTTTACTCACTTGGTCCCAACGTGGTGTATCGATTCACCTCACTCAAAACGCGCCCGAGATGCTGGAGTACTTCACAATAAAGAAGATTAAGAAGGTCAGGGATGAGAAGAAGGCCCAACACGGTCAAGAGAGTGGCCCAGGTGGGGCCGGCAAGCAGAAGGAATCCCATGCTCCGGAAGCATCTGGGAGCTCTCACTCCCAACCAGCTCCCGGGGACCCGATTCTTGACCGTTCCGACGAAGCATTCCTGCGAAGCTTATTGTCTGACGATGGGTCCGAAGATGGTCCTGCGCCGCCTCTGCCACCTCGGGTCCCCGTCCCTGAGATTGACTGGCCATCGGATGATGCATCGTCAATGAACAGGGAGAGGGCAAGCCAGGACGGCCAGAACGGCAAGGCAGGCAGCGACGGCAAGGGCAAAGCCGTTGAGGAGGAAAAGAAACCCAATCGCCTATCCCGCCTATTCTCCAAGAGATCAAAGCACGGTTCCCATTTGAAGCCTGAGGATGCCGCATCATTGTCAGAAGGGGAGCTGCAGAAGGAGAAGAATGACTTGAGCAATGTTCTCGACCGCCTGAACCTGTCAGCGAAGAACAACAAGGTCATCAACCTCTCCAATGACTCCGAGGAGCTCCTGGCCAAATTCACACAGGTCTTCAAGGATCTTGCAAATGGCGTGCCAACTGCCTACGACGACCTCGTTAAGCTCTTCACCGACCGTGACGGCACCATCTCAAAGTGCTTCGAGAAACTGCCCTCCGGGCTCCAGAAGCTTGTGATGCAGTTGCCTGAAAAAGTCACAGGCAGCATCGCGCCAGAGATCCTGGCCGCGGCGGCCAAGAGCCAAGGGCTTGAGGCTTCCATGGAAGGCGGTGTCAAGGCGGCCGCACAGAACCTCTTCGTGCCAAAGAACGTCTTGGAACTTGTCACGAAGCCAGGTGCCCTGGTGAGTATGCTTAGGGCTATCGTATCAACCCTGCAGGCGCGCTGGCCGGCCTTTATTGGTGTCAACGTGATTTGGAGTGTCGCCTTGTTTTGTAAGTTTTCTTCTTTGGATTCTTATGCTTTGGGTGAAGCTAACAGCATGACAGTACTGATGTTCGTTCTGTGGTACTGCTACAAGCGTGGCAAGGAAGTCCGTCTGGAGAAGGAGAAGGAGGCCCAGGGAGTTGTTGATGGTGCAGATCGTATCGAGGAGCTCCCAGACGACCCCCAGCTTCCAGCACCAGCTACTGGGACCCAGTCTCTGGCCGCAGACTCCGCGACCGGGTCAGGCACCAGAACAGCTGAAGCCTCGCGGCCAAATGACCCATCCCACGCCTAGGTGGGGATACAAAATTATAATGAGGCCAATGCCTTCAAGTATTGATGAAAGTTACGTATTGATGAGGGTTTTATTGAAATAATGTCTGATAACTAGCATACCCTTCCCCTCTCCCCGTTCTTGAACTATCACAGTCTGAGGGGATTTTCTCCAAGGTTATGACCAATCAACGAAACTCCTGTTTTGTCTTGGAGCCTAGTAAATAGTGTCCATAGAATTTGATTGTTTGTCTTCGGATGAAAACTACTGGAATTAGTCTGATATTATTTTGCTCCTTCTTCTCTTAGGGGTATCTTGAGCTCGACCGAGGTCTAGTCTTCTATCTTAATCTTCTTGAACCAATTCCTTAATCTCGGTTCCTCGGCCCCGCTTAGTTTTGTAGTTCCTTTCGTCATCCGATGAACTGTCTGGAGAATCCAGAATGTCCTGCATCCACACATCCACCTCATCGATAATGTCGAACACAACGTCTTCCGCAATCTGGTCCCGGTACCGCTCAGAAACCGCATGCATCGTTTCAACTCGTGTCGGAGTAGGGGCGGCGGCGTTCGCATTCTCTGTGCTTGGGGGTGGATAGTCTGGTGGAGGGTACCAGAAATCAGGTCCGAAGTTGACCTCGGCCGCACCACCTCTGAAGATGCTTATGGCTGGGTAGTATCCCAGCATGCCGTCATCAAATCCTTCTCTTGCGCCGACCTGGGGCATCAAAGGCTTTGAAGCTGGTGGTAGGAACCCGAGCAGATCTTCGAATGGAGTACCCATCAGTACGCCATTCTTGTAAATTTTGATTGAGGAATTTGGTAGTGTGCGTAGAGCTGGCGTCCTATGGAGAGGGTTTGGTGGCTCAGATGTTGACGAACCAGACCCGACTGGGGAGGGGTTCATGAGATCTTCGAGCTCTTTGGTCGAGTGATATTCGATCTTTTCGAAGTATGTATGTGCCTTGAATCGAATTGGAACTCGGTCTCGGACGATATTGGCTGCCTCAGCGGTTATAGGCATATCCTGGGCCTCCTCGATAAGATCGATCGCAGGATTATATGTACCAGCCATAACCTTCCGATGGAGTCTCTCGGATGGCAAACGTATCTCAAGCCCGATAACGTCGCCTTCCTGTATGGTTTCGCCGGGAGGGAAGAAGGGCTTGGGCCGCGACATGAACACCTTTTCCCCAGCGACATCACGGATGCCGTAGCTATAGGCATCGAACCCCACGGGGGCATCGAGAGACGCTTCTCGTCGGGCCCAGCCCATCCGAACATGTCGCCCACCTTCCGGCTTTGAGCCGTCACCATTCGTCTTGCGGATTCCTTGCGTGATCTTGCACTCCCAGTACGACCTTCCTTCTCGAACCGCTACATTCCCTCGTGCCATGCGGAAGCCTTTGTCTGTCGTGACGTGTCGCGCCGATTTATCAAAAAACACGTGACCAGCAGCATCTTCATAGCTCATACGAGGCCCAAAGGGTTCGACTTCAGTCTGGCGATAGTATACCGTTGACGGGAACAGGGGATCTGCGATGCAATGGGTGTAACGGAAATTCTTCTTGTTGAAGACACTTTGGTCGGTCAGTAATCGCGCACGTCCACCGGAACTCCGAGAAGACGAGTTTCGGGTCTGGCTTACTGGTCTGCAGTCTCAAAAAACTGTATAGTCTCGCCATTGGAAGTTTCGACTTCATGATGGTAGGCCAACACGCGCGGACGAGGCGCTTCAAAGTCGGATGTCTTGGGCGGCGCAAGTTTGTACCGAAGGGGGCCTCCTTCGGCGTGCTGCTGTTCCTTGGGACGTTTGGGATCCGGCGTCGCACGGTCTCCATCACCGCCCTTGGCTTCTCGCTTCTTGAGGGTGTCTTTCTTCGCTCTGACCGACTTGGCGCGACTCGACGGCGGCGCGTCGTCGGTCAAATGAGATTCGGTGGGGTTCACATCGGGGTTGAGGGGCGAGGGTACAGCAGGACTGTGGCCTTCATCGAGAAGCCGCTTCTGGGGAACTGAGGAGAGTGAGGTGGTCGGAGTAGGCTCACGCTTGGGACTCTCGGATCCAGTCGTCATGTTGGAAAGCACCAGAGCGTTGGGTCGCGATGTTGTCGCCAATCGTTGAAATCTGAACCAGGCACATACGCGATTGCTTAGGTAAGTGGTTCTAGATCTGGCACGCAATCTGACTAGTGCATATCCACCCAAACCGGGTGACATATTGCCACACCCTAGCAAAGCCGCGATGTCTCGGTGGAGTATTTGCAATAGCGTCGACAGAGACTAGAGGAGTGTGTCCAATCGGAGACTTGCGAAAAGTAATCATTGCCATTCCATGTTGACCGCTCATTGGTTACGTCTTGTGTCGGTTTCCGAGTTGCTGCGACTGTGACACTCCTCTGCTCCTGTTGGGATGGTGAATACTTGAATCCGCGGTCCCGGACGCAGCTAAAGTGTGATTGGAATTTTTAGAAGTTGGTGGTAGCCAAGGAATATTCTGGCCATTGCATTGGGCTGAGCCGTTTCGCCCCAGGTTGCAACACATTGGCATTTCTGCAGGGCTGGATGATCCCAGTCTTTCCCCTCTCCCTTTCGTAAGTGTGTACATTTTGTTAGGCACACAAGATCTCCTGCGTGGCGTTGACTTGGCTTTGGGTACCTGGATGCTACATACCAAAGCAAAGGACTTCTCTTGATCGGATGTGGCGATCGGAGTAGATCTACAACTTTTGGATGGCCCCCAGGGTCCTTACGCCATCGCCTTGTTTCGAAGTCAGCTGACAATTCAAGAACCAGACGGTGTCCGATATCTCCTTCCACGTGTTTTGCGACCACGAGGCCGGCTCCTAGGGTTTAATTACGACCACCCAATAACTAACATTGTTCAACCCGGTATCTGTCAATCCCAGCCGACTTGGATAACTGCTCGGACCGAGTGCGCCAGGCTCGCTAGCTGGCTGTGCAGGTTAATGTCCTCCCTACTGCCCGGAACTCTGTCTGCCGCTGCCTGCGCCACTACTCCCGGAAACCTTGCCTCCAACATAGCAAACTCTTTCTCAAACACCCTGCATCTAAGCCGACCCGCCATGGGCGACAACAATCCTCACTCGAGGAACCCCCTGAACCAACATCGAGAGCCAGGGGCTATCCGGACTGCTCTGCCATCTCGCCCGATGTCGTCAACCCCGACGGCTCATTTCGTGGGCGGCCCCTCCGATCGTACGAACCAAACGAAAGCTACCAGTGTCTCGCCTTCGTCTCAAGACGTTTCGATGCTTGATGTCTCCTCGTACCAGTCGCATAGCCCGAATACACCGTCTGCAACCCTTGCCCCCAAAGCAAGCCCTCCCGCTGTGCCCAGCTCTCATGGCGGTCAAGTCTGCAGGTCAGTTTCCGATATTTTGAAATTGGATCAAGACTCTCAGCTCACGTATTCAATAGCAATTGTGGAACCACACGGACGCCTCTTTGGAGAAGATCCCCCCAGGGCGCAACGATCTGTAATGCCTGTGGCTTATACTTGAAGGCACGGAATGCCGCCCGTCCCACTGGATTGAAGAAGCCGCCAAGCGTCATACAAGAATCGACCCCTCGACCGTCATCGCAGCCTACATCTATTGCCCCTGCACCGAAGGCAGGTCAGGGCGTGCCCGGTGCCACCTACGTGACAGCCGAACAGACTCCCACTGGGACATGCCCCGGTGGCGGCCGTTGTAATGGAACTGGGGGAGCCGAAGGCTGCCATGGCTGCCCAGCGTTCAACAACAGACTATCCAAGAGCGCTAATTTGACCGTTAAACAAAGATCCGGGGGCTGTGGAGGACGTGACCAGGGCGCTTCAAACACTCCGCAACCGATTGATGTGAATGCTTTACAGACCCAGTCACAAGCACAGTCACAGGGCCAGTCGCAAAACCAGGCCCAAAATCCTGACACTACAGTTGTCATTGCCTGCCAGAATTGTGGTACCACTGTGACACCCTTATGGAGGCGAGACGAAGGCGGGCACACGATCTGCAATGCTTGTGGTCAGTATCTTGATGAATGTCCTTCGTTTTTGACTTGGTTAACCCTTAGGCAGGCCTCTACTATAAACTACATGGCGTGCATCGCCCCGTTACAATGAAGAAAGCTACCATTAAACGCAGAAAGAGGGTTATTCCAGCAAGCCAGGATGAGGAAATGGACGATATGACGGAATCGAGTGACGGTCATCGCTACGAGAAGACACCCGAACGAGGTACGATTAATGACGATGGCTCCATCAATCTCGGAATGCGTAGACCTGCTAGTCTGCCTGTGGCTATTGAACCTCGACCCGCTATTCATTCGAGCCGGCAGCCGTCTCCTATGTCGACTGCTTCGGATCTGGCTTCATATCATCAACAATCACTCCGCCCCCGGCAATCTCCCCAAATATTCAATGACGATAACCGGCTACCGCCACTGGCATCAATGCATACTGTTGTTGATAGGCGAGCCTCGGTATCGCCGGCATCCTTTCTACCCTCAGCGAGGAAACGTTCCTTTTCATCTGCGGAGGTGGAAACTAACTACCAGGATGATGGAGAGGCGGACAATCCGAAACGACTCTCTTCTATCAAATCAATTTTGAATCCCGGACCCGGCCACGATGACCGAAATGACTACTCGTTGCCCCCGCTCCGATCGCCTGGACCGAAGCTTACTCCGCAGCCTAGCCCCAGCATGTTTTCGACAAGAGATGGTACTCCAACACATTCAGATATTCATGACGAGATTGAAAATTCTAAAGCTGACCGCCGAGCAGCTTTGCGACGAGAAGCAGAACAAATGCGAGAGATGTTAGCGGCCAAAGAGCGTGAGCTCATGGCCTTGGGACATGAATGATGGAAATACAAAAGAACGGGAAGTCAATGATCTTATGGCGACCTTAATCATGACCTATAACCCTTTTGGGTTGAGTAAGGAGTTTTCTGGGCTAGAATTTCTTTCATCTGGGGTATATCGGGGACCGGCGAACAACGGCGCAAACATCACACG